TTTGAAAAAATTTAGAAAACCCATGACTCGTGCCAAAGGCCACGTGTCCGTCATCACCAAAGTTGCCTCGGCTCAGGAACTTAGGTACGAGAGTGGAAGGTCATGAATTGAGCACCCCCACTCGCCCGATCAAAGATCGGCCTCTACTAATCATGATATGATTTTTATCAATATCATGTGCTTTTGTTCTGATTATTAGACTAGCTTGACTATGTGATGCTCATAAGCAAGTACAGACTAGTTTCCTCAATTTGAAACAATTCAACTCATGTTTGTTTGTGAAAATGGTTTGAATTTGCCACCTCAAGTGGGCTTAAAATTTGCAGATTTTCCACCAAACATGGTGGGCTTAAACTAATTTGCCACTCAACAAAGTGGGCTTAAAAAAAAACATGCATTCGTTGAATCGTTCCAATTCAAACAATAAGCCTTCATCCACAGGCATTCAAGTAGTTTATCAAGTAAGCATTTAGCCTCATGGTAAGCATGCTAGACATGGCAACATCCACATTCATGCAAGTATGCTAAAGCATTAAAACTCACTTAGTACTCCAAGCTAAGAAGATATGAGTTAGAAAAATGTGCATGATTCCTAACTATACAAGATGCCTAATGCAACACATGCAAGGAAGGCAATTACTAGGCTCGGCTACTAATATGGCATATGAAGCAATTTAAATAACATGCGATTAAACACGTTTTGAAAGAATTATTGAAATGACAATGCAGTTTGAATGATGCGCCAAGCCCCGGTGCATGCAAAACAAGAATGGATGTAATCATAAGAGATGCTAATTAAAACATGGTGTTCCTAATCTAACCATCAAAAGCGGATAAATAAAAGGGAGAAAGACGTGGGGTTAGAAGACATACACGCACGCACGCACACTTATTACCACATTACGCCATTGCGAAGGAGCGTCCGAATGAAACTAACTAAGCTACACTACTTAACTAATTACTACAACACTTTGAATAAATAAAAAGCTTACTCTAAGGTAATTAATTATTACAACACACTTAACTAATTAATCAATTAGACTAAACTATTTAATTAATTAATTACACAACATGAATTAATTAACTATCTAAGCTAATTAAGTAAAAACAATTAAATAATTAACTATCTAAGTTAATTAAATATTACAAAGCAAACTAATTAGCTAAATACTTAACTAATTAATTACAAACCAACTAAGCTAATTAATTACAACATGAATTAATTAACTAATCTACTTAAATAGTTACAAGCATTTGCATGAATTAGCTATACCTAATTAACTAAGCAAATTAACTAAATGGCCTCGGGAAACGAGGGATGCATGCATGCTTGGTTTTTCACCTGAAGAACATCCACAGTCTGTCACTAATTACCTTTGTTGCACAACACCTACACTATTTTCTTCCTCCAAATCAACACTGCTCTGCTTCAGAAGCACAATAGTGAATTTTTCACTGGTGGCTGACCGGCTGGCCACAGATGAGGGTTTGCCAACCAACACTGAGGGGTTATCGGCCATTAAAGGTGGCCTGCCGGCCACTGATGAGGGTTTGCCGACCACTGAAGCCAAGTCTTTTCTTACTACAACAGAGGACAAAACAGAGCAAGAAATGGGTGGTCTCGCAGGTTTTTTATACCATGTATCACCCCTTATCATCAACACAAGCTCAAAGGAGTGATACATTTGGCCCTCAAACCATTAATCAAGCAATTTCCATGCATGATGGCTAAGGGACTAATTTGTACAAGTTCAATGAATGCAAAACAAGACTCAAATGCCATCACCCTGTCATACATGATCAGGGGCAACGAAGACCTAAGGAAGTGGCACATTTCATCACCTTTGAGTATGAAATGTCCCATTTTCCTTGTGTTCAAATTAACGTCCGATTTGAACACATGCAATGCAACACAAAAAAATGCTTATCGTGCCACTTTTACTTGCCAATTTTGTTTACACATTTTAGTTACCAAATCATTCTTTAATCAATTTGTCCATTGGTGAGTGTCCTCTAAGGTGAAAGAAATGTCAACCAAGGGATAACGTAAGGCAAGAGAGAGATCATGTCGTTGATAATGAACCCCTCAAAGAGGATTAAACCATTAAGCATGACCTCAATCTCAATCTTAAAGGATCCTAAGCTTGAAACAACCCTCAAAAGCAAATGAAAGAGTGAAGCAAAGAGGGAGGTTACAGAGTTTATACTGCTGAAATAGAGTGAAAAACAATACCAAAAGATGCTATCAACTCAAACAAGAGGTGTCTAAGACCCTAAAACACCAACTTGTGAAGACTATTACACTACAACCATGTAAAACAAGACTCAAATGAACTAACCAGCCAAAAACAACGCTAAAGAAGGCTATTTCAGAGGCTAAAACATGCTGAACTTGAGCTAAGTTAAGCTAGAAAAATATGCTAACATATAAAGCTAACTAAGCATCCAAACAAGACACGAGGAGGAGAGGCTAACCCCTCCAGATTTGGACTTCAAAATGAGTTTTTTTCCACTAAAAAATCTCTGAAATTCAGTGGTTAAAAGGCCCAAAAAAGTTGGTTTGAAAGTGGTGAACAAAGGTACAAAAAGCTTTACAAACGAAGAAGTAAGAAGGGTGAACCACCCCTAACTAAAAATGGCCTCAAACCACCATCTTTAGGCCACAAGAACAGAGTTTCTTATAGTTCAAAATCAGCCCCAAATATAGCTCAAAAACGGTAGAAGAAAATGACAAAGCAAGTATGCAAAACAAGCTAACAAGCAAGTGTTATACCTTTTGAAGCCAAGGCACAAATTAGGCAACAAAGCAAGCGACAACCACCTTCTAATGCTCAAAAAGGGTCTCAAGTAACCTCATCCCAAAGAGAAGCAACTTTGTTCAAGGGTTGATAGACAAAAGTGTAGAGGCACTAAGCAACTAAGTACAAAATTTCAAGAGAAAGAGAGAGAGAATTTTGCTTCAAAATTTTCTAACCTTTTACAATGGGGGAGAAGGTCCCATATTTATATATAAAAAAAAGCTTTCAGCTGAGTTATATCAGTCCATACACATGTATGGTGATCAAGCCCATTGTGCCAACAGCTGAAACAACTGTCAAGAAAATATCTGAAAAAAACGCATCAGTGGCCGACAGGCCACCAATGATGGCCAACAGGCCACACCATTGGCCGACAAGGCACAATGGTGGCCGACAAGGCACACAAGGGGGCTGGCAGGGCACCAGAGGTGGCCTATTGGTCCCAAGGTGCTGAGGTTTGAAGCATTGGAGATTTGAGTGTAAAAAAAACAAGGTTTTGGTCCAAAACAAGGCACAAAACGGACACAGTTTTAGGGCTCAAAAGCAGGGCACTCCGCCAAGGACCTTAAGCACTCCACCGAGGACCTCGAGCACTTGAAACGAACACATGAAATCACAATCATCGTATGCACAAATAATGATGTCCAAGTCTTGAGGACGGTCAAAAATGAGGTGTTTACACCTTCACAGTTCAGCCCCAAAATTTTCCCAACTTGAATTGTAGCTTGTGCTTTATTCAACAACTTCTTCATACTCCTAAAATTTGTACTCTACGAAACTGATAATGAAATTGCAGCAGTTGCTGATTGAAATATAGCTCCATTTTGAAGACAATTTCTAAACAGCCCACCCTTGTTCTTCATTTGTTTTCCTCTTTTCTTCAATTCAGCTCCTTTGTTCTTACTTCGATTGGTGACTTTTTCAACAGTCTTCCTCCTTTTTGATGTATTACCCCTGTTTTTCTCTCCCTGCTGGGCCGAATGAAGAATCGGTGGACTTACCTGAGTATGAGTTGCATATTCACTTATGTTAGAAGCCTCAATGATAGGCCCATTATCCATTTCCCCAAACTGTCCCCCATTTAAAACTACCTCTAAATTTAAATTGGGTCACGACCTTTTTGGCCCATTAACCCTCCTCATAACCCCAGAAGAACAAATTTGGCCTTCTATAATTTGAATTTCATTTGCCACCTCTTTTCTTGGATTGTTCAACTAACCCGGACCTTGCACCATACAACCACCTCCATCGTTTGTGCTTCCCAAATCACACTTTGTCTCTTTTACAGCTGATATACACTCTTATTTATTACTTCATTCCTTCTCCTCTGTATCTGTGTCCACCATGTCCTTTTCTTTGCTTGCCACAACATCTTTTCCTAGCATTACCTCATTCTATGTATTTGTATTGACCACATCCTCACCACCCTTATCATTTTTTACCAGTTGATCAACCTCTTCCTGAGTTTTGGAAGCAACATCCTCACTCTCCTAGCTTTTTTGTTGACAGAAACATGTAGTGTCTGCAGTAGATAAATCTTCTCACACTCGGACTAGGGAAAAATTTCCATGGCATTTAACATTTATCACTGTATTTATGAATTCAAACATGTTCATAATTATTCGTACCTTACCATACTGAAAGGAACTCTGCTTAAGAATGTTGTCATCTAACTGGACAACTTCCCCCCATAGTTTACCAATATCTGTAAAAGTATTAACATTCCACAAGTTAAAAGGAACACCCACACAAGTAATCCACACACACCTTTCTTGTTTGATATGTAGCCATTTTTCCTAATCACTTATAGATTGACACCAATGAAAAATCCATTCTTCAATAGTTATTCTTGCTTCCTTCATATGTAGGTCTAATTTAAAAATTAGTACTGCTAACCTTCCACCTCCATCTCGCACTCTTACCTCCTTTAGGTCTCTTCTTTCAAACTCCTTCTAAAAATCATTGAATGAAGAAAAAGTTTTCAGCTTCACAATCAGACATTCATATAGCCAATCATTTCCTGAATCATAAGCCTTTAGAACCACTTTTGGCTTCTCCTGGATAACTCCATTTTGATCAGCTTCAGCATAAGATCTTCTTCCTACAGCCTCCATTTGTTGTTGTGTAGAGTTCCTCTTTTGATACTGACTCATCATCTCGTCTCATCTGCTCCTTATCATGGGTTATTTCTACACTTCTTTTTCATACTCTGCGTTTCTCAGTGCAAAAATCCTCTATTTGTATTGACCACATCCTCACCACCCTTATCGGACCACCATTGTTTCTCGCTATAGGTTGTTTCTGTTCCCCTTTTTTATATGATGCATTCTTCACCTTCAAAGCTTTATTATCACACCATAAACCATCAGCTTTTAGCACCATCATGTCTGTTGCAACCTTGCAATTGTTCCTTACAAATCTGAGCTGAGAGCCCGTAATTTGTCTTCTTTTCATTGGAATAAAGACATCCTTAACTATTCTGAACTTACTGAATAAAGTATACAAGCTTTTTGGATTTGTAGAGTTTGGAATCTCATCTACAAATATGGTAAACAACCCATCTACAACCATAGATGGGCTGCTTTGATTGCCCACTCTTTCTGCTCTTCTTCTTCTGAACACTGGGTTCCACCCTTCTCTTTCCATAACTTAACTCTCTAGAGGAAAAAAAAATTTTGATTCAACTTGTTGCTACTCCACACTGTTTACTCCAAGCATGTAGACTCTCTAGTACTCCAATCTAAAGATTTGCTTCAGTTGTGGCTTTGTTACACTAGTGGATGGGTTTCAAATGCAAAAATATTATTATGAAGCTCTAGAATTTAGTTCCATTGGCTATGCTCTGATCTATTTGGAAAATCAGGAATGATTGCATCTTCAATGGGTGTCAATTTAATCTCAAAGAATTGAGTATTACTGTCAAATGGAGAGTGGCTCTGTGGGCCAAATCCAACCTTCTAGGCTTCTCTTACTCAATGCATGATATTGTCCACAACCTTAGTTAGATCATGTTCTGCTGTTAAATGTGTTGCCTATGTATTTGTGTTTTGCTCTGGTGTATATGTGTTCTGTTTTGCTCTGTTGTTCAGTGTGTTCTGCTATTACCTTGTTGACTCTGTATCTATGCTGCTCTGGTGTATATGTGATGTTAGGCCTGCAGTCTTGCTAGCTCTGCTCTAGTGTATCTGTGCTGATGTTTTGCTAGCTCTACTATAGTGTATCTGTGTATTTGTTGGTCCCTCACCAACAGATTCTTGGTTTGATGCTTATCATATGATTCTGTGAGCTGTCTAGTGCCAACTTAGTTAGGATTGGGTTGTTTCACTATAATGGCCTCTGCATCATTCCCCCTTTTTCTATTGTTGTTTTTCTTCCTTTCTTGAAAGGTTTTCTCTCATCAATAAACTTTTTTGATTGGTCAAAAAAAAAAAACTTTATTAAGAATTTTTGTGCATGTAGTATTACTATTTATGAGTAATTAATTTTAACTTATTGAAATATTACTAAAAGTAAGAAAGGCCAAATAGAATTAGTTGTCAAAATACTTGGACATCTAATGATGTTTGGATACACATACTTTTAATAAGATTTTTACTAAGAATTTCAGTACATGTAGCATTTCTATAGCTTTTAAGATTATTAGCTTTAAAGATTTAAAATAATTGTAAATACGTCTGATGCAAATTTTCATAATCTATAAATAGAAAAATATAAATAAATAAATAAATAAGTTGCACCTGTTTGGTTAATAAGTTGTCACTAAACGTTTTTTTTTTTTTTTTTTTTTTTTTTTTTTTTGTAGATATATCCAATATACCCTCAAAAATAAGGCAACAGTTATGAAATTATTAACTTATTTAAGAGTTTCAAATTACTAAAATGACACTGGCCAAAATATAAAAATTAATTTACTCAAAAATCAAATATGTTATAATCTAAAATTGCAACCAAACACCATTAATCAACTTTTTAAATCAAATATGCTAAATAAATGGGCAAATAACATGGGGGCATTTCCTAAATAAGCCAAAATACTAAATCAATTCCCAAACTAAGCCTAGTTTTGAAAGAATTCCCAAAATAGGCTAAATCGTGGTTCAGAACCACGATTTCAACATTTATACGCCTGTCTCGCGAGGAATTTGGGAAGTGTTAAAATCGTGGTTACAAAACGCGCTTTTGATTAAGAAATCGTGGTTACAAAAGGTACTTTTAATTTTTTTTTTCTTCTGAACTCGCTATTCTAAACCACGCTTTATCCAAAAAAAAATTTCTTCTGAACTCGCTGTTCTAAACCACGCTTTTATGAAGAAAAAAATTTCTTCTGAACTCGCTGTTTCGAACCATGCTTTTTGGCCAATTTTTTTTTTGCTGAAATCGTGGTTGTGAACCACGCTTCTTATACAATTTTTTAAAGTGAACTCGTGGTTTGTAACCACGCTTTTAGAACTGATATAAACCCTCCCCAGCCCCGTCATTTGCAATCACGCTTCTTAGATAACACAGTTCGCTCCTGCTCTCTCTCTCTCGCTCAGCCCCGTCTCTCTCACTCTTACTACTCTCTCTCTCTCTCGTTCTTACTGCTCTCTCGCTGTGCACGAGCTCCCTTTTTGCTCTCTGTCCTCTCTCTCGTTAGTATGTGTAGACGTGCCCTCAGGCCTCACTACAGTTCAGACTCAATTTGTGTCACGGTCCTGTATCTAATCTCGCAGAGTGCAATGCAAGACTGATGAAATCATCAAAGAGTCCAAATCCGGCAAATCATTTTTTGAAAATAGATTTTTTGAAAGAAGTGCCAAACATGGACTGCTTTGCCAGATACAGAGTCGCCACCTAAATATTTTATTTTGGAGAAATTTAGAAAACCCTGACTCGTTGTCTAAGGCCACGTGTCATCACCAAAGTTGCCTCGGCTCGGGAACTTGGGTACGATTGGGGAAGGTCACTTCGTGAGCACCCCCGCTCGCCCGATCAAAGATCGGCCTCTACTAACCATGATATCTAGTTTTGAAAACATTATGCGTTCTTATTCCGGTTATTAGCCTAGATTTACTATGTGATGCGCACAGCATACAAGTATAGATTGGATCGCCTGAATTGGAACAAAACATTTCATGTTTGTTTATTTTGAAAATGGTTTGCTACTTGCAAGTAGGCTAAGACATGGATTTGCCACCCTCGGATGGGCCTGGAAAACATGATTTTGCCATTATCTAGTGGGCTTAAAACTCACAATTAATGAATTGTTCCAATTCAAATAACCCAACCTTCACCCACAGGCATTCAGGCAGTTATATCACATAAACACATAGCCTCATGGTAAGCATGCTATCATGGCAGTCACTCACATGCATACAAGGATGCTAAAGCATAAAACTTACCGAGTACTCCAAGCCAAAACAAAAGCTATGTTAGAAATCTATGCATGATCCTAACTATACAGAAATGCCTAATGCAACACATGCAAAAATGCAACTATAATAGGCTCGGCTATTCTAAACATGGCATATGATGATGCTACAGCTAACAAGTATTCAATTTGGAATTGAAATACAAATGCAGTTATTATGGTGCGCCGAGCCCGGTGCATGCAAGACAGATGAATGAATGCAAACATGGGAGCATAAGTATGCTAATTAAAACATGCCCTAATCTAACCATCATAAGCTGGTAAATAAAAAGGAGAAAGACATGGGGTTGGAAGACATACATCACACACACGCACACTTATTACAACATTGCCCTCGCTCAGAGGGTCCGAATAAATAATATACAGTCCGAATAAATAGTACAGTCCGAATAAATACAAAAATCCTAATTAATTAACAAATTAATCTAGGAAAGCAGATAAATTAGCACGCAAATCCGCGGACTACCACAGCTCTTATTCCGAATGATGAATGATGTATGCTTGAGTTGCCTTGCGCGGAAATCCATTGCGATGCCTCGGTTTGCCTCTGTTTGCAATTTTTCTCGTAATATTGTGCAAAGCTCCAGAAGGCCGCTGATTTCTGATTTACAGCAACAGAGAGCAACAAAGGGGCATGGCAAAGTATTTTCACATATGTGTGCATGACTACTCTTTGGGGAGTGTAGTCCTTGATCCTCGTGCCACCAATCACGCATATCTATGCATGATGGCCGAGGAGTCGAATTGCACGACTTAATATGAAATGAATGCACATGGAAACACAACAAGACCTAAACTCCATCATGGGTAATCCGGAGTGTCGGCGACAGGGAATTGAGACACGTTCTGTCACTCGAAGTACGAAATGTACCTCGTTTCCCGTGCTTGGGCTAACTCCTATCCCAAACATGATGCAAATGAGATGGTATACACAATGCGATTAACATACAACCTAGCATACGCAATGCTATGAAATGGCATACACAATGCTTGATGTGTCATGGCATACACGATGTTCTAACATGCAATCTAGCAAACGCAATGCTATGGACCGAAATGACATACACAATGCACGATGGACTTACACCATCATGAATGGACCTCTGCCACACTCACATCAGTGGCCATTAGATGAAAATGAGATGACCGAAATGCGTGCACACGTGTACGCATACCGAGGACCGAACCTAAGGCATCAAATGCCACTCTATCAAAGCATGGCAAGGGATGAAAGATGGCCTATGAACATGTAATTTCCAGCACTAAAACATGATGCTAAATGGTCCTAAAACATGGAAATATGGCACCCGATGCATGGAATAAGCCCCGAAACTCAAAACTAGGCACATGTATTGAACCACAAGTATACAAAGAAAGCATTATTTGCTCGTGAAGTCAAAAGACAGAGCCAAGGCAGTCCCAAAACATGCACATTTCTAGTTTAGAGCATGGCCAAAAGATGCTAACATGATGGGCTAAAATACCATGCAACATTGGCTAGCAAACATGGTTTACATGGCATGTATATGAAGCAAATGAGAACTCAACAAACCAGCCAAAAACAGTGAATAAAACATGCCAAAATATGCCTGAATAATCACTGAAATTCAGCCAATGCATGCAAAAATGAGGGGCTTCTTTGGAGGGCCTTACAAGGGGTTATTAAGCACATACAAGATAGACATGTAACACGGAAAAACCACCCCTGGAAATGAGTTATGACAGCCCTAAAACTCACCAAAAATGCCCTGAAATTAACCTAGGAAGCATGCAAATGAAAGACCCTTTGAAAGGCCTTGAGGGGGGTTGCTCTACACATGCATCATAGACATAAAATATGGAAAAATGGGCTCTGGATAGAGCTTATGCAGACCATAAAACTCACAAAATGAGGCCTGAAACATGACTTCAATGCATGCAAAATAAAGTCCCTTTGGAAGGCCAACAATGCTAGTAAAGAGAATAAGTGGTGAGAGGGTCACCCCTCTATGATTTTGGGGCTCAAAGACACATCAAGGCCACTAAAAATCCATTGGATTTTAGTGTCTAAGGGGCCAAAACAAGGCCAATGCAAATGCTCATATGCATGGCTCAAAACATGGGAAAATGAAGCATGCAAGGAGGAAAATGACTCCAAACAGAAAATTGACCTCAATAAAACTTAAAGAGGAGGTCAAAACAAAACTTTCTTCATTTTAGGTCGAGGTCCAAAAATGCTCACAAATAAGGCTAATAT